GTTGGGTTATGGTGGGTGGTGGTGGTGCTGCTGTTGGCAGCGAACGACGGCGACAATCGCAATTGCGGTGGCCGTCTACTTAAGCTTTACGAGATACGGCACGGCCATTTCGTACCGTCCGACTTCGGAAGAGGTGTGAGAATCTTACGATTGTGCTTCTTGATCTGGCCGAGAACCGAGAACCGAGAGCGGAGAGCGGAGGCGGAGGCGGAGGCGGATGCGGATGCGGAATAAAGAAGAGAATACTCCGATTGAGTTGCATGGCGGGAGTCTGGAGATGGGGATACGCACAGTAAGATGGGACGGGAAGAGATAAAACGGGAGGAAAGGCGTGGCGTGGCGTGGCGTGGCGCGGAACCTCCATAAGGCTGGCTTTTCCTGGGGAAAAGCGTGGCGCGCCGTGGCGGATAGTCGAATCTGGAAGCTTTCTGCTAACGTATCAATAGTATCGAAATCATATTCCGAAGTTTGCGGAGGGCTTCCCCGATACGGATCATGCCGATATGCCTCCCTTCCCTAACCCAAGCAGATGGAGCGAAGCGGAGCGAAAGAGAGGCTCGTACGCCAAAGAAAAACAAAAACACTTACTGGGAAGAAAAGACTTAACCCGTGCGCCAAACAAGGCGAGCTGTCGGCTATATACTTCACAGTAGTCCAACTTTGGAGTTTGAAGATCGATTTATCGGGTCTTTAAGGTTTGGCCTCCGTAGAGAGAGCCCTTGAATTTTCAATTGAGTTTGATATTGCATATTGTAACGTAACGCAGTTTTTTTTTTACAACAAGGGAGAAATGTTTATATACCTCGAAGTAAGAGATTTCAACGCGTCAGAGAAAAACCTTGTTTCCACTTTCCAGAGCCATGGTATTCAACCCCCGAGGATGTAGGTAGGTAATTCCCTGCTTCGCTTTAGGAAGAAAGGTACGTATAAGATTTGCCAAGAGGCATCGACCCTTTGCTAAGTTCGCTTGCACAACTAGTGGTACGAAGGGCTATTGATTGTTTTACTTTGTATTAGCAATCATACTTTGTATTAGCAATCAATTTCTTTCCCTGAAATTCAAAGGAAAGTCTAGCAGGACTTCTTAGTGGTCCCTGTCTAAGGTAAATAAATATTGTAGTATATCTGCAAATTGAAAAGGACCAAAAAACCCAATTCGCGAGTAGCCATTCAAGCCGCAAAATGTTTCAAATAAATAAATAAATAAATGAATATATATATATATATATATATATATATATATATATATACT